AAAAAGATAAATAAGAATATCAATGTTTTGACATTTTTTAACGAGATATCACAGTTTTGACTATTACTACTTATCATTGTTTTAAGTACAAAAAAATTGTTTTTCCATTTCAAAAAAATATTTAAAATCCGTCGTTTTTCAGTTTTTTTCAAATTATCAATTTATTTTTAAATTAGTAAATTCATTGAAAGATAAACCTTTGTTATATGCAGAAAATTTAACAAAACAATATTTCAAAATTATAAGAATACTTTTTTTTTATTTAACGTCCAAGGAAAAATTTTGGAAATATTTCCAAAACAGTTAGATTCATCCTCCATGGAAATTACTAGTCTTTAAATTTTCTCGTCCTATTTGTTTCAAATTATTACACAAGCCGTAATTTTGTCCACCAGTTAGAGGCAACACAGTGATCAACATAAAAAACAACGGAATTTAAATATTTTTTAAATGAAAAAATAATTTTTTGTACTTAAAATAATGATAAATAGTATGGTGAAAACCATATCTTAACCATATTAATAATATCTTTATTTGTTTCTTGGAAAAAAATTCGTAAAAAATTTCCATTTTTGGACTACTTAAATCAAAACCTTCTTATAAGTCAAAATTTCGCTCCTCTGTTATTCTCGCTCAAAAATTCATCGTTTTTCTTTTTAATTTCAGCATATGTTGTCCAAGAGAAAAATACATAATACGATTCAAGATGATGCATATTTATCAATATCGACTTTATCAGCACTCATTCTAATGGGCGCTCATTCCAGAATAATAAACAGCTCTAGCCTCTTGTTCCCTTGCTCTCGTCGCCTCTTTGCAGTTTGAGTCGCGCGGCGCTCTCAATCGCTCTTAAAATGCGTGAATGCGCTCGTAGCACGTGCGCACGCACGAACGTACGCACGAGTCCCTCGAAAAACAAACCGTGAGCTTCTTGTGTCGCCATCGTAGCATGACTTAATTAATGGGAGGGCGAGAGAGGAACGTCGACAAAGTACGTCTTTGTCGAGCAGTTCGCGGCACTGGGTCAATAAAGAGCGCAGAGTCGACGATGGTGTTTCACTAATTACGCGAGCGTCGCTCGCTCGGAATCGCGCGATTGGCGATCGCGATTTAATTGAATGAAGCGAGGACGCGATAATAAATTCATTCGGGATTCGGATCCCCGAGTTCGATCAACTTGCACTACACGTCAGTCGGCTAATCGTCTGTTTGATCGTGATGGCCAAGTATTGAGGGAAAAAGTTTCGCTAATTTAACAAAATATCAGCAACGGCAACAGATAATTTGTCGATGTGGGACAGACCCCGAATGACCCCGTAATGGCAAGAAATGATTGGTTACTTTCAATTTGCTACTCTGAACAACACTTCTATAATAGAGACACAACTAACCTAACCTAAATAGAACAAGTATAATTTGTATTTCAGACAATGTATGTTTTTAACAGTAAACAGGTATACAGTAAACATGCCCAACACGTAAATATTACAGCTCGTGTAATAATCTATAATAAATGTATAATAATAATCTAATAATCTGTATAATATATAAATATAAATAATAATCTATATAATGTATAAATATAAGTAATAATCTATATAATGTACAAATATAAATAAGATAAACAAATTTTCGAATTATTAACTTTAGTGGGAGATGAATCTTTGTTATATGCAGAAAAAATCAAAATTTAACAAAACAACCGCACTTTGAAGTTACATATCAACTCTTTTCTTTATTATGCGACTCGGAAAAAATTTTAATTTTGAAAATATTTGTAAAAGATTTAGCTTTATCTTCCAGCAAATTCAATACGGTCTTTAAATTTTCTTTTCCCATTTATTTAAAATTACACGAACTATAATATTGTCCACCAGTTAGAGACGACATTATAACACAAAGAACTGGGAAACGGAATTTAAATTTTTTTTTTAATTGGAAAAATAATTTTGTTGTACTTAAAACAATAATAAATAATACAGTCATAAACCTATATTGATATTTTTATCTATTTTTTTGAAAAAAGTTTACAAAATTTTTTCTCATTTTCTCGACTACTTATACTTTTCCTTAAGTCGAACTGTCATTGCATACGATGTTAATTATAATATACTATATTACGACGCATTCGGTTTAACTAGCAAGACCGTCAATTCTGGCGTTCGATGGATGACGTCGATTTCGGCGACACCGTGACGAAAATCGTGCGGCACAAACGAGCCTTTAGTACCGCGCGAATCGATGCGTGTATCCCGTACGCTCGTACGGCGCTCGATAAATGAATGAACGATTGTTTTATCCCGATTCCCGACGATAATGACGACATCGCGTATACACCGGTCGTTAATTTATTTCCGTGCGGAACTTTTCCGTCCAGAGCTCAACGTGCGCTCTCTCTCTCTCTCTCTCTCTCTCTCTCTCTCTCTCTCTCTCTCTCTCTCTCTCTCTCTCTCTC